CAAGGACATTTCACCAGAGTAGTAGTTCGTACCATGGAATGGGCAGCCCAAATATTCTAAAACTGTCTGGTTCAATACAGGAAAAAATACCCTCCCATCTCACACCCCTAGTTGTCACTTACCACCCCCCATTGGAACTCTTATGGGGTATCATTAAACAACTACAATCCATACTCAATGGGGATCACATCCTGAAAGGAATCTTTTCCAAACCCCATCTTTTGGCCTGCAAACAACCCCCCCAACCTCACTGTCAGAAGGAAGCTCCCCACAGACCAAGATTCACCAACTCCAAACAGCTCCAGCCCCTGCCATAACATCAGACGCAAAACCTGCAGATGTATCTCCACTGCTACAATGATTAACATGCCCCTGCAACATACTTTCAAGATCCCTGGGTCCTACGCATGCCCATCACAATATGCAGTGTACCTCATCCAGTACATTAAAAACCCCAATAACAACTATGTGGGTGAAGCCAAACAATCACTATACCCTTGAATTAACCCTCACAGAAAAATGATAAAATACAAAAAAACCCAATATCACTGTGGGCGAACACTTTTCACAGAACCATCATTCCATATCTGACCTCTTGGTCCTCATCCTCAAAGGAAACCTGCACATTATCTTAAGATGAGGAGCCTGGGTGCTTAAATTAATATCTGTGCTAGACACAAAACACTGCAGATTCAATGAATATATTGGATTGGCTCATTACAACACTCTGTAACCAACTAACCTTCCTTTGTCCTATGACCAAAGAAATATTAACTGCCCACTTCACCTTGAATGGTCTCTTTGCAACAGTATTAACTCCTTATGCTTAAAGAAAAGGAGTACTAGTGGCACCTTAGAGACTAACCAATTTATTTGAGCATAAGCTTTCGTGAGCTACAGCTCACTTCATCGGATGCATTCAGTGGAAAATACAGTGAGGAGATTTATATACACACAGAACACGAAAAAATGGATGTTATCATACACACTGTAAGGAGAGTGATCACTTAAGATGAGCTATTACCAGCAGGAGAGTGCGGGGGGGGGGGGGGGAGCGGGGAGAAAACCTTTTGTAGTGATAATCAAGGTGGGCCATTTCAGGAACGTCTGAGGAACGGTGGGGGAGGGGGAATAAACATGGGGAAATAGTTTTACTTTGTGTAATGACACATCCGCTCCCAGTCTCTATTCAAGCCTAAGTTAATTGTATCCAGTTTGCAAATTAATTCCAATTCAGCAGTCTCTCGTTGGAGTCTGTTTTTGAAGTCTTTTTGTTGTAATATTGCGACCTTTAGGTCTGTAATCGAGTGACTAGAGAGACTGAAGTGTTCTCCGACTGATTTATGAATGTTATAATTCTTGACATCTGATTTGTGTCCATTTATTCTTTTACGTAGAGACTGTCCAGTTTGACCAATATACATGGCAGAGGGGCATTGCTGGCACATGATGGCATATATCACATTGGTGGATGTGCAGGTGAACGAGCCTCTGATAGTGTGGCTGATGTTATTAGGCCCTGTCCCCTGCATAGATATGTGGACACAGTTAGCAGCGGGCTTTGTTGCAAGGATAGGTTCCTGGGTTAGTGGTTCTGTTGTGTGGTTGCTGGTGAGTATTTGCTTCAGGTTGGGGGGCTGTCTGTAAGCAAGAACTGGCCTGTCTCCCAAGATTTGTGAGAGTGATGGGTCGTCCTTCAGGATCGGTTGTAGATCCTTGATGATGCATTGCAGAGGTTTCAGTTGGGGGCTGAAGGTGACAGCTAGTGGCGTTCTGTTATTTTCTTTGTTGGGCCTGTCCTGAAGTAGGTGACTTCTGGGTACTCTTCTGGCTCTGTCAATTTGTTTCTTCACTTCAGCAGGTGGGTATTGTACTTGTAAGAATGTTTGATAGAGATCTTGTAGGTGTTTGTCTCTGTCTGAGGGGTTGGAACAAATGCGGTTGTATCGTAGTGCTTGGCTGTAGACAATGGATCGTGTGGCGTGGTCTGGGTGAAAGCTGGAGGCATATAGGTAGGAATAGCGGTCAGTAGGTTTCCGGTATAGGGTGGTGTTTATGTGACCATCGCTTATTAGCACCGTAGTGTCTAGGAAGTGGATCTCTTGTGTGGACTGGACCAGGCTGAGGTTGATGGTGGGATGGAAATTGTTGAAATCATGGTGGAATTCTTCAAGGGTTTCTTTTCCATGGGTCCAGATGACGAAGATGTCATCAATGTAGCGCAAGTAGAGTAGGGGCATTAGGGGACGAGAGCTGAAGAAGCGTTGTTCTAAGTCAGCCATAAAAATGTTGGTATACTGTGGGGCCATGCGGGTACGCATAGCAGTGCTGCTGATTTCAAGGTATACATTGTCCCCAAATGTGAAATAGTTATGGGTGAGGACAAAGTCACAAAGTTCAGCCACCAGGTTTGCCGTGATATTATCAGGGATATTGTTCCTGACGGCTTGTAGTCCATCTTTGTGTGGAATGTTGGTGTCGAGGGCTTCTACATCCATAGTGGCCAGGATGGTGTTTTCAGGAAGATCACCAATGGACTGTAGTTTCCTCAGGAAGTCAGTGGTGTCTCGAAGATAGCTGGGAGTGCTGAGAGTGTAGGGCCTGAGGAGGGAGTCTACATAGCCAGAAATCCTGCTGTGAGGGTGCCAATGCCTTAGATGATGGGGAGCCCAGGATTTCCAGGTTTATGGATCTTGGGTAGCAGATAGAATACCCCAGGTCGGGGTTCCAGGGGTGCGTCTGTGCGGATTTGTTCTTGTGCTTTTTCAGGGAGTTTCTTGAGCAAATGCTGTAGTTTCTTTTGGTAACCCTCGGTGGGATCAGAGGGTAATGGCTTGTAGAAAGTGGTATTGGAGAGCTGCCGAGCAGCCTCTTGTTCATATTCTGACCTATTCATGATGACGACAGCACCTCCTTTGTCAGCCTTTTTGATTATGATGTCAGAGTTGTTTCTGAGGCTGTGGATGGCATTGTGTTCTGCACGGCTGAGGTTGTGGGGCAAGTGATGCTGCTTTTCCACAATTTCAGCCCGTGCACGTCGGCATGTGTATAACAACACCCATTTTTTCATGTTCTGTGTGTATATACTGTGTGTATATAAATCTCCTCACTGTATTTTCCACTGAATGCAACCGATGAAGTGAGCTGTAGCTCACGAAAGCTTATGCTCAAATAAATTGGTTAGTCTCTAAGGTGTCACTAGTACTCCTTTTCTTTTTGCCAATACAGACTAACACGGCTGCTACTCTGAAACCTGTCCTTATGCTTAATCTGTTCCACCTTTTATTTAGCTGCAACACTCTGGAGTGCTTTTCCCAGACTGGAAAAAGAGCTCTGTGTAAGCTCGAAGGCTTGTCTCTTTCACCAACAGAAACTGGTCCAATAAAAGATATTACCCTCACTCACCTTGTCTCTCTAATATCCTGGGACCAACACAGTCACAGCAACAATGCAAAGTGTAGTTGGTGTCAATCTCAATAGTACAAAGAATAGCACCAGGAGCAGAAAACTCCAATATGAGCAGATAAGTGAAAGAGAAGAAAGTAAAAAATAAATAAATAAATATCCCAAATGAGACCAAAAAAACTACTCCATAAACTATTTATCTATGAGCTATTAAACAACTATTTACAACAGGAAATACTTCTCTTCAGGGAAAAAAGGTTACATACAAACACCCACAAGATGTTCCAACTACTGACCACAGTCAATAAGAAAGAACCGAAGGGCGGGCAGGGAAGTTCTGGCCTTTATACCCTTCGCTGTGAGCACAAGCAGATGCAGGGGACATGTGCTGGCCCAAAAGATACCGCTATGGGAAAAATCTCTGGCTTGCCTTCCTCGAATAAAGAAAAATGTAGAGTTAGGTATGGTTTTGTCAAGGTTGCTAGTGGTACGGCAATTTCCTAATATATCCAACGTTTTCACAGCATGCCCTGAGACCTATTTATTAGCACTAACCAGAAAAATGCAATTTATAGTTCAAGTCACTATCCACGACATATGATCTTTTGGAGGGGTGAGGCAGGACTGCATTTCCATCATTCTTGCCCTTTCAATATGAACACCCTATTACTTTTCCTGAAAAATACCATGATCAAAAAGCAGTCACTAGCTAGGCAGCTGATGAACCAGGAACATATCAATATTGTAAGAACGCAATGCAAAAGTGCATGTCCCAAAAACTTTACCCATTTTCCTTTCTCCTACCCCACGGATATTAGTGTCTTGGTCCCTAAGCTTTTCCCCAGAGTCAATCCAAAGCCCTGTTACCCACAGCAGATAAATAAAACTAAATACATATAAAAAAATTGTAAAAAGAGACCCTTATGAAAGTGGGGTCATTTTCATGGGCTATAAAATTAAATCTTTCTGAGCTTCTCTCCATGTCTAGTTAAGATTCCACAATTAAAAAGCCTCAAAAAATACTTCTGATATTCTGGGGAGCAACTTCATCTACTCATCTCTCTCTCTCTCTGCTTTTGATACATTATCAGTATTGCCTCACAGAAACAAACAAAAAGATACATTCTGACCAAGGATCGTGACCATGTACTCAATCTTTCATTGCTTGGTTTTCTCAAATCTTTTGGCTCTTGTATGCCAACAGCTAATTTTACCTGGGTTGCTTGGTATTTCACTATTTTTCAGGTTTCCTCTTCATCTCAAATTTACCAGACAACTGTCTCTGACTTTTCTATTTATTCTCTATGGAACTTAAACCTAACAATGACAAGGAAAAATGCAAGCTCTCTGGCATAGAAGGAGTAAAGAGCAAAAGCTATGTAATTTTTTGGATAAAAACCAAGAACAGCAAGGGAAGAAAAGGGAAAAAGGCAATGCAGTCAGGAACAAAAAGGACTATTGCATTGTAAGAATTAATTCTGCTTATTTTTTGAGTTATTTTGACAAAATATTTTGCATATTACTGATTTTTCCATTAATCCTATATAATGTTTAAATGTTGCAACAAAGAATTGGTGAAGAAAATTGTTGTTCACCTTATTTTTGACATGTAATTATATTCTATTGCTGTGCAGCTTGTGTGTCCATCAGTCATCTGCAAACGCAGCATTCTGGGAGCAGCTTGAGATTCTTCATTATCCTTTGGTGCAGCAACATTGCGTATTTTTTGTATCTGCAGGACACATGGGCCTTCTAGCTATAAATACAAAATGAAAAAATGCAAAGTGAAAACATGAAAAACTCAATCAAGCTTTTTTTTAAAAAAAACATTGGGATTTTGCTACATGGTGTTGTCTAGCCATACAAACCAAAGCCTATAGGCAAAACACAGCCTAATGATCTGTAATTTCTGAAACTTCATGTTTTAGACTATATTGTACATAAAATGGATTTGCCGAGAAAAGGCATCCTTCTACGTATGTACTAGCTACAATGCCAATTATCTGAAGGGGATGAAGGGTATTCAAAAAAAAAACAAAAAACGCTATGGAAATATTGTCACTTTCAGATTCTCATGAAGGCCAAACACTAGGATTTGAAAATGCTACACCACAGGTTCCCAAAGCCAGAGTGCAGAAAAGAGAACATCAGCTGGCTTTACAGACCAGCTGGCTTTAAAAGAGCTGTATTCCAGCTAGCTTTGGCAGCTAAACTAGCAACATCGGGTCTTCAAATAGGGGGTTAACATAATGTATGGCCCCCAGAAGACATTAGTGAAATTCACTTAACTAAATTCAGTAAATCCACGTTGTACTAGATATCCCACAGAAATCACCACATTTTGTTTGAATGAGAGTCAGGACAGATTGATACAAATCCAAGTAATTTTAATCGCCAATTTTGATTATGATTTCAATGAGCAAGCAAAAACCTTGCTTTAAATAATTTTTATCTTGTTTTACATTTGTACTTTTTAGTTATTTTCCTAAAAAAAGGTTGGTATAACCACTAAAACATGTTGATTCACAACCAAATATAGCTGTTAGGAACAAAAAAAACCCACTAAATTTATTGTAACCCAGAGTATACGTTATAGCTATATACATTTTATTTAAGCAACTATATAACTTAACATACATCTATTCAGATCCTTAATTTTTACATTTTTAGTATGTTAAAAAATTGTAAACAATGTATTTACTGGATGATTTTTTTTTTATTCAAGATTTGTGCCAAGCTGTATTAGAATGGACATTGGAATTCAATTAAAAATGCACAAAAACAGCATTTTAAATTTGTTTTTATTAATTAAATAAAATTACCTTGAATGCGCTGGATACATAAGAAAAAAAACTTTTAACAAAATATACCTTGCATTTAAAACTAGGTGATTTATTAAACAAAGAAAGTATTAATTGTAGTTAGTGACTTGAAGGATTGTTTCTGGTCATCATGGCCCAAATTTTCAAAGCTATTTAGGTGCCTAAGGATGCAGATAGATGAGTTAGGCACATAACTTGCTTAGATACTTTAAAAAAAAATCTCCCTAGTCACCTATCTGCATCTTTGGATGCCTAAATACCTTTGATAATCTGCCCCCTGTCTTTCAAGTTCTTAGAATTAGTAGATGTCATCTTCTCCCACTCATTTTTTATTTATAGATTGGAAAAGAAAAACAAACTCTCCTGCTTTTACAACTTGCAGTTAGATTCCAAACTTTAATGAATTACTCCAAATGAAGAAAATATTGTCTCTGTGCTTGCTAGCTAAACTGAAACCAAAAATAATTAAGGCAAAAGCTTTCCTGCAGAACAGAAACTGAAAGTATTACATTTAGAAAAAAAATCTGAATACCAGCATTCACTCCATTGTAAAAGCTGAAAATAATATAGATACCGAATGCAACATGTGACATTGTAACTTATTTATAAAGCTTGAGTTGACCTGGCAAACAGAGGCTCGGGACCTATCCTCCATGATCATATCCTATGCTCAAGTTATTGGGCTCAATACAGCAATAACTGGACAAAAACTTAATTTAAAGGGGAACTGGGGCAATGGTGACGGTAGACAACTCTGACAAGGGACTGGAGTAAGCAGGGAGAAGTGGGACCAACTAGGTGAAGAGACTGGAACTAAAAGCTAGAGCGGGAAGAAACAAGGAGCCTGAGATGGGCATGCAGGAGAGGGACACCTATCTGCATCCTTAGGCACCTAAATAATTTTGAAAATTTGGGCCATGATGACCAGAAACAATCCATCAAGCCACTAACTACAATTACTTTCTTTGTTTAATAAATCACTTAGTTTTAAATGCAAAGGGACAACTGAAATGTGATGGGTTACCCTGGGTGGGAGATTAGGACTGGGTCCCAGGGGAAGGAAGGGGGGAAAAGAGAGCCAGACTGGAAAAGGAGCTGCGAGATAGGGGAACTGAGACTGATTGGAAAAGAACAGTGGGATGAAAAGGCTGAAGAGTGGAGTGTGTGCAGGCAAAGAGAATGGTACTAGGATAGCCAGGGAAGAGGAAGAGACAGGACTGGAACAGGGACAGGACAGAGATGATGAACCTGATGGGGTCAAGTTTGGGAGAATGGGCAGAAGAGCTTGAGCCCACGAGAGCACACTCCCCTCCACAGCCTGGAATGGAACTCAAGATTCTTGAGTCTCGCACCATTCCTCTGCTGTCAACAAAATTTCTGTGAAACCCACTGGCAAACTGTGTGTCTTGTTCCCCTATACTTTTGGTCCACATAGCAGGAGAACAACCTACTTTTGCTACCAGTTATTCCATCAGTAAAGTGGCAGAGGTCTTTGTGATAGAGCTCCAGGTTCCAAGCCATCTGATGAACCAGGATGCTACATCATGAAATTTCTATTTTTATCAGTTTGCTTTCTATAAAAAAAAAAAACTAACTTTTTAGGGCAATTTCCTAGGTTAAAATAGTATCATTAAGGTTGCTAAATGATGTACTCTAAAGTTAGGAAACGCCAGAATTAAGGTCGACTGTGCAACCTTAATTTCACCCCCTTGTATCTATGATTATGATACAGTCTTTAAGTACATGATCACATTCTATACATACACAGACATCCACATATATACGTGTACACACACACACACACACACAGGACCCATGCCTCATTCAGTGCACAGGATGAACCTGATCTCGGGATGAATATGGGTTGGGTAGTGAAGGAGGCTGTTGGATCTACGACTCAGTCTCATTTGTTGAGTAAGTTGTGATGTGTACTGAAGGAGGCAGGGGACTGCAGGAAAAGAAAGGACAATCTCATGGTTAAGGCTATTGAATACTGCCCTGAAGAAACAGGTGCTATCCTTTCCTCTGCCACAGCATTCCTACATGATGCTGGGCAAGTCACTTAAACCAAAGTTTTCACAGTTGGTCACTAAGTGCATGTTTCTCATTTTCTGGGTGCCTACTTTGAGACCTCTGAGTCTGATTTACAGAAGGGCTAAGCATTTATAGCTTCAGCTGAAGTCAGTGGGAGCTTTATTTGAATATACAAAGTGCTTTACAATGCTAAAAATCAGGTCCTCGGTGTTTCAAATTGACCACAAAAAATTAGTGTACACTTTCGACCTGAAGTTCTCTGTGCCTCTGCTCTCCATTTGTAATACCACCCGCTCAACTCACAGGCCAGACATCAAAATTTAATTAATTAATTGTCTGTAAAGCATTCTGATACTGTATAGAAATTGGATCACAGACTGTAGGATAGGTACCCGCAGGGCATTGCTCACATTGCCAATGATGGTGCTCCCACTGTGGATATAATCTGTCGACAGAGGAAGCTAGTATGAACATGAGATTCTGATTTTTACTATGTCGACTTTTGGGTGTCAACATCACTTTTGTCGACAAAAATTGGTAGCGTAGACATGGCCTTAGACTTGGAAACCCATCAAAGCAGAAAGAGGGCTGAAGATAGTGCATTTCTGGTAAATGAAAAATTGAAAAAAAAAACCCCACAATTTCTTCTCTTTTTAAGAAGGCAACAGAGAGCTCTGAGACCCATCATTGAGCTAGAATAGAACTCGTGGATGCATTTGCAAGTGCTAATACACCGTTAAAAAAACCCTGATCACCCAAAGCTGCGTGAGTTCATTCAATGGAATGTACAAAATGCCGGTTGCTTACCAAGTGAGAAGCAGCTATGACAGGACTACCTTCCGAAGGTTTTTGCTACACATTTTGAGAAGGAGGAGTCTCAAATTAACCTATTTAAGTCTTTTACAATGATTTCAGATGAGTCCACAGATGAGCAAGACAACTAAGCACTGCACGTTCTGTTTGATTTTGTTTCTGAAAAGGCTGAAGATGTACGGACAGAAAAGCTAACAGTGCTTGCAGACTGCATTTGCTGTTAAGTACACTACAGTTCCTCAAGCAATAATTAAAACCGTTTCAAAATATAGTGCAAACTTTGACAAAGTATCTGTTTTCATAAGTGACAATGCAACTTATATGACAATCTTTCAAATCAGGGAAGGTCATGCCTGACTAATCTAATCGCCTTTTATGATGAGATTACTGGTTCTGTGGAGGAAGGGAAAGCAGTGGATGTATTGTTTCTTGACTTTAGCAAAGCTTTTGACACGGTCTCCCACAGTATTCTTGTCAGCAAGTTAAGGAAGTATGGGCTGGATGAATGCACTACAAGGTGGGTAGAAAGCTGGCTAGATTGTCGGGCTCAACGGGTAGTGATCAATGGCTCCATGTCTAGTTGGCAGCCGGTATCAAGTGGAGTGCCCCAAGGGTCGGTCCTGGGGCCGGTTTTGTTCAATATCTTCATAAATGATCTGGAGGATGGTGTGGATTGCACTCTCAGCAAATTTGCGGATGATACTAAACTGGGAGGAGTGGTAGACACGCTGGAGGGGAGGGATAGGATACAGAAGGACCTAGACAAATTGGAGGATTGGGCCAAAAGAAATCTGATGAGGTTCAATAAGGATAAGTGCAGGGTCCTGCACTTAGGACGGAAGAACCCAATGCACAGCTACAGACTAGGGACCGAATGGCTAGGCAGCAGTTCTGCGGAAAAGGACCTAGGGGTGACAGTGGACGAGAAGCTGGATATGAGTCAGCAGTGTGCCCTTGTTGCCAAGAAGGCCAATGGCATCTTGGGATGTATAAGTAGGGGCATAGCGAGCAGATCGAGGGACGTGATCGTTCCCCTCTATTCGACATTGGTGAGGCCTCATGTGGAGTACTGTGTCCAGTTTTGGGC